ATCAGCTCCACGTATATCACAGTTGTATTAACTCAATATTTCTGTCTCTGAGGTCATAGTCCAACAACTTCTCTCAGACCTCCTTTACCTGGAAACAAAAGGTGAGCAGACTTTCTTTGGTGTTGCTGCAGGGTACTCACTAACGCATGTACTGCGCTTGGTTTGACCATACATACAACTATCTAGTCCTGTCTTAAGTAACCAGCCTGATTAGCCAATGAGCCATAAGTAAATATGATCTAATGGGTGAGAAACCTGGTGGAATGCGGAGAAAGCACCTGAAGGAAATTAAACAAAATACCCCCAAGCATACACATACAATTACTGACAGAAAAACAAGAAAGACAGAAAAGCAATGGAGAGAGGGAGAGAAAAGGCAGGCCAGCCTGAGAGACCTCAGGAACCATGACAGTTATGTTATTTTCATATTTTGAATGTCAAATAGTAATGTTCCCCTCAAAATAACTTTGGTTCAACTCGAGTTTCTAAATTTGTTAAATCACCCAAATCATCTGGTGCATTAATGTCCTGTGGGATTGTTAGATTATTCTGTTATTATATGTTACCTTATATATGTAATCAAAGTAGTTGAATTGGAATACTGCTGTAGATCATATTATACCCTTTAATATAGAGTGTGTGATCTGTATGTAGTTTAGTTCTCGTTATACTTTTGAGTTAACAGAACATATTCACATAAAGGTTTATTAGATAAGTGTGCATCACTCTGTATCCTTGATCTGCTGGGAATGTATTACATGCTTAATTGTTGAATCATGAAGAAGGAGTCTCTGTGTCTAAGACAGGGGAGATAGACAGACCACATTCCATACCCCCACCTTAAAGAAAGCAGAGAGACAACTGCCGAGGTCATAACTTAGGCGCTGTAACAGAGAAAGAATGTGATGTTTTGGCTTTTACGACTAGATGGGGGCCACTAGAGACTATAAAAAGCTGAGCAACCCGTCACCATTTTGAGACTTGCTGTGACCCTCTACATGCAGCTCTCCCCATCATGATGGTTCAAATGCTCATAAGTGTTGAATTGTATGGAAATAAATGATTGTTGATTGAGCATTTATACACCGAGTATTGTCCTTCCTTCAGCCCAAAGATTCAAAGAATTGGGAGATTTCAACAACTTGGTGCCGTGTGACCCGGATCTTTGGTGTGCTGAGGAGGTGCAGATTTGGCCTTTGGTGAGATCGTGAGGCGAGGTGAACAGAGGACCGGTCCAAATATAAAAAGGTAAGCACAGCCTGTTGTATTATAAATACCAAATGTGCATATTGGGCTTTCCAAATTAATCTGTTCACTGAGTTACACGTATTTTCACAGTAAATTTGTCGGTGTCTGGTTTTTGGCGCAAGATACTAACAACATAAGTTGAGGCTGAATTCCAGTGTGTTAAATAAACTGCTTCTACCGAGAAACTAATAAGACACTACGTTGAGCTAGTTGCAGTAAACTGCTTCTACCGAGAAACTAATAAGATACTACGTTGAGCTAGTTGCAGCCACTTTACCTTCCACATTTAATTTTGTCTAATACTGGCTTCTGTAGCAATAATACGTTAGAATTTCTTCTGAAGACGCGGCCATTAGTTCAGTACATTGAAGTCGAGGTTTGTTTATTTTGTTTATGGTGTCAGTGACGTTCTGGCTTTTGCCGGCTATGAAATAGAAGTTGATTTAAGGAAAAGCAGATGCTGGCTTCACGGTGCAGTTGAACGCTGGCAACGCCGAAGAGCGAAACACGTCCGTAGGTTTGGTTTATGTACGGCCGTGTTCCGGTGGTGCGGCCGTGAAGTGCAGTAGTGGTTGGTGCTAGTTTTAGTACATAGAACAGAGGTTTGACGGTGGTTTGTGGCGTCAGTCGAGTTTAAGGGCTGCGGTCATAATACAAAGTAAAAATTTTAGGTACATAGAGCAAAACCTGGTTTATGATGTCAGGTATAACTTCGGGGATGCAAGCATCACTTTTATGATGCGACTTTGCCCCGTTGTGGCGGTCATAATCGCAGAGAAAGGGGTATTTTGGTCTATGGTGCAGTGTGCTTTAAGAAGATCTAATAGTTGAGCTCAGAGGTTTCTGTGCAAATTTCTGCTGATGAGGAACGCTCTCTGTGTGTCTCACTGATGGTGTAACGCGCTGTGTGTGTAAGGCGCGCTCTGGCTGTGGGTGAGGCGTGCTCTGAGTGTGTTTCTGTGTGTGAAGTCTGAACACAGTGACAGTGACGGTTGATGTGTTTGATTAGGAGGACACTAGAGCAAAGACACATTTTAGGATCAAAGGTTGATGTCTAGTGTACCTGTGGAACATTTTGCTTATGGTTTGGCAACCCCCCTGTCTGTAGACGTGCAGGCAGGTTAAGTGCCGAGGTGGTGACTTGGGGAGGTGAGGGCCCCCGCATAGCTACGGAAATAACACTGGAACGGCCGTGTAATCACGGGTTCACATTTATTCCGGACTAGAACAAGACACATTTTGCGATCAAAGGTTGAGTCTAGATTAGTAAAGAAATAAAAAAAGGTTGAATTCCTCGTTTCAGTGGTTGAAATTGTTGTGTGCCTGTCCCCTGACGAGTGTGAAATTAAATAAAGAGGGAATTTGGAGCCACATAGAGATAGACGGGCATAATTGGGTGTATTACTCTGTGGTGTAATAAAAATAAAAAGGAGAGATAGTAAGAGGTGTGCAGTGGAGAATTATGGAGGAGTAGAGAGAGGAATGTGTTGGGAGACTGGCGTGCAGTTTACGCTGTCAAGGTAGGCGTGTTGCCTGCTTATCTGTTTAACCGTGATGAAAATGAAATTAAATAAATCTCTTAGTGTGTTAATACAGGAAGCTGCGGACCTGGACCAACTGCCCCCACAAGCACAGCGGCCGAAGCAAAATTATAGGTAATGGGAACCACACCCAGTACGAATCAGCAGCTGTGAAACAGACAGCAGCGAGGAGAGAATTAGAGGAGGAATTAAGAGAAGTTTTAACACATAAAATTGGGGCCAACGGACTTGTGGAGGTTGGGAAGGCGTCCGGAGCATCACAACAAAAAGGTGAAACAAAAACACACACAAGCAGAAAAATCTGAGAGAAAGGCTCCTTTTAAGGTAACGCCTAGTTTGAGAAAAAGATAAAATTAACCTGCTTGCCTACAAATGCACATACACGCAATGAAGAAACAGCTTACACTCATGAACACGTGAAGATTTTCCAGCAAGGCTAAAGCAGCGAAACTTAACATACACTGTTGTTAAAGGATAAATACATTACTGACAAATAAACTCTCTGGGTTGCAGGACAACAATTTAACAAAAAAAAAAGGAAAAGGAACACTGGTCTAACCAACCAGGCAAGACGCAACAAATTTAGTGGTAAAAAGAGTCAAATTGTGACATGTTTTCTGTTGATTGATTAATAAAAGTGAATACTGAATGAAAGAAAATTTCTTTTTGGGCTTTTAAACATGATCTTAAGAATTTTAACATGTATCTGTGTTGTCCTGTCAGCTTGGTGGGTCATGAGTTGATTATATCGGGAGAGAAAAAACAAAAAAAGGGGGAGAAAAGGCTGACACAGGGTCTGGTCCCGGTGTTTCTCCCCTCTCGTTGTAATACAGCCAACACAACATCATTTTCCTGTTCGCTTGTTTTTGTTTTTCGTTTGTTTTTGTTTTGTTTTGTTTTTGTTTTTTCTATACATATTTAATTACAGGCTGCTTTGCCGGCCCTGAAAGCCGAGGCTGACTGGACTCCTGCTCTCCCCCATACGTGACACTGACCAAATGCTGCAACAGCTGGACCCACAACAACGACCTGAGAATATCAACAGACCTGCAGGAATGTGATCTCATGCAGCCGAGACGGAGAGCACTAAACCTAAGGCCCGTTTCACTACACGGGGGAAAATTCCCAGACTGCGTCAGCTGACAGAGCTCAGCTGTGACGAGACGCCCGCCAAGCCCGAATGAAAAGTAAGGCCGAGCGAAAGAATGCTGACCTTGATAACTTTGCATTCACACTGTGCAGGACAGTGATGGACCAACACGGATGATCGGGCGGCAAAAAGGGCGTGACCGAGACAGGAGGAGTAACTGAGGTCAGAAGGCACCTCAGAATGGACAAAAACACAGAAGAAGATGCAGGTTTCACCTGCGGTGAACATCGACACTGGAGAAAGGACTGCCCCAATTGGGGTCAGAACCAGGACGGACAGAACTTTGGGCAACAGCAGCAGCAATGGTCGCAAACAAACTGAAAAGGAGGGGGGCAGGACCCCAGGGCATGCTTCAGGCCGTGGTTTACCCAGAACACCAGAACAGGAAAGTGATGAACACAAACACCCACACAAACACACACATCTACATGCACTGACTCAGAATGAAGAGAAACACACACACACACACACACACACACACACACACACACACACACGTCTACACACACACAGATTCAGAATGAAGTGAAATACACACATGAACACGTGCACTCGTTGAGTGAGTGAGAAATGACACACACACACACGCTGATGCAATGAAGAATGCTTTGCTAACAAATGCTTATGCGGATATGCAAAATGCTGCACACAAACATCCTAATGCATAATTTTTATGAGGAGCAATTGATTACCATTGATTACTTAGAATGTGTTATATGTCACCCAGAGGGCATTTATGTAGATTTTAGGAATAAGGTCTAAAAAGTTTGGTTATGAAAACAATGTCTGTGCGTGATGTCTGTTTATGGCTCAAGGCCTTGACTGAATTCTTTGCTGTGCTTCACACAGCCCTGATGAGGAACAGTGGCACAGAGTGAAAATGATGAATTAATAGTGCAAGTTTTAGGTCGGAGTACGGCATTTTCTGTGATTGAGTTTTAATTCAAGGAGGAACAAAAGGTGTTACGGCACCTGAGGTTCTCATTCCCACACAATATTGTCCCGGCAGGAAGCAAAATGTTCCT